TATTCATAACTCTTCCCCCTCCCCCCCAGCCCAAAGATTAACTATTAAAAAGATCCTGTTAACCTTAAGTTTGTGACTTAGACCAGATTTTGTAATCTGATACGTTATTCAATGCCAATGTACTTTTGTCTTCATGAGTTAAATGCAGCCCCACAGCTGCCACATAAGCAAACTTTCTTGCACAGTATTTTGACTGACAATAATCTATGCCTAATTTTAAAGTATCTGCTAAATGAATTACCCCCACTCCCAGTAGCCATTTAAGATAAAAATGTGGTAAGTTCATTTCAAAATGCTCATAGCAGAAGCAGTTTTGTAGTTTGGCAGCTTAGGTGTGTTTATAAGCAGAATGATTAAATGAACTTCAAACAAATCCAGATGAAAGCAAAATGTCCCAGTCTAATATTGGTGTCCTAAAGACAAATTTCTGCAGTACAAGAATTTGACACATGAAATTTAAGTAAATAAATTTTTCTCCCCCAGTGGTTTGTTTTTATTTAAGAAATTGCCATGACTGCCTAATGTTTACTTTTCACAAGCACACTTACCTAAGAATAGGTTTGGAAAGGGGCAACTAATTTTTACTGATTTGATGTTGACATTTGTTAAGGTAAAGAACAGGTAGAGGACCTGTTGATTCCCCTTCCCCCATAGAAAACTTCACACAGCTGGCTAAAATTGTCTCCCCCACTTACATTTTAAGATGGTCTGAATGTACAGAGCAGCACTGAAAGGATGAAGTTGGTAAGACCCACACCTATGTACTTTTGAATTGACAGGCTGAAGAGCATTGAACACAAAGCACAGCTCCATTTTCACCAACAGGTTTGAAGGCTCTCTAATACCAATGATTGTCCATTTTTTTTACTGCAGGCTAATTTCATTATATTGAAAGCTATATTTAACTTAGGTCTTTCTAAACACGAGTGTAGAAATTAGTTAAGTGCTTGGTAAAACATTTTGGTAGATTTCAGGGTAAAGGTGAATGAAAGGATCAAAATACCTGGAGAAACGTGTTACACAATTGGTTAGTCTACAGGAAAGTGATGTGACTCTCCTGAATTAATGTGTTTGTGAAAACCAAAATGGAGTACAAACAAGTATTCATGCACGAATTAAAGTAGAGTGAAATCAGTCTAGACCAAATTTGTTATCATTGGGTCAATTCACTCAGTGGTACTACAGGGCAGAACTGCCTCATCTTTCTGCTATGCGGTGACTGGTGGGATTGAGCCATCAACCATTTGCTTTGCAGCAGCCACTCAAATTGTACCACAGGGCTCACAGACCAGTGTTAACTTCCCAGAATATGATCTGAAAAACCGTAGGCACAAGAGTGTTTTTCCTACAGAAACACTCAATTCTCAGTGAAAGGAATTTACATGTCTGACTTTTTATTTGGGGAGAGAAGGTGGAGCAACTTTACACGTGTGAAGCAAGAACACAAACTTACGCACAACCTACACTTGAGAGGTAAGAAGGAAAACCCCTAAAGGAACTTCCCAATTGACTAGTAGACTATCGGTGGATGTTTCTGATGTCGTTTTTTTGCTATCCCTAATAGGACTATGGCAGAACACACTTCAGAGCTAATGTTATGCTGTCAAACAGCCTTTCCTTTGAAATTTTGTAAATATTGTTTACATCTAACAGCTATGCTTTCTCACCCAGAAGTTTCCACGCTAGTAAGTTGTAAAGAGGAACTATGTAAAAGGCTGGCACATTGTTACCTCTAGCAATGTTCTGTTCAGAAAGTGGGGACTAGCATCCTCCTAGGAGTGTTTTAGGACTTCAAAATGACAACTGAGTAGAGCCTGTAATATCCAGCCCTTAAAAACCCCTCATATATTCACACACACACCAGTCTTGGTACAGATGAGGTATGTTAAGGGTGTCAAGTCCTTTACATTAAATCTAGCCCTCAGTCTAGTAATCTGTCTCTCCAAACGGGCAGTACCTGCCCCACAGGGCAGGTGTGCCTGAACCATGGGCTTATGGACTGTAAGCTGTAATTGCTGAGGGGGGGGGGGTTAACTTTTTTTTCTCCTAAAAAGGGGAAGATAGGCCAAAAGTTTGGGAATCTATCCTCTTAAGTGAATACTACCACTTTAAGGGAATACTGAGTATTGTCAATTTGATTATCAACTTAAGTAAATTTTACTTTTTGTCTCCATAAAAATAAAGCTATAAAAAACCCACCCCAAGTTCATTTGTGTAGGACCTGCCATTTACTTGCTGGTGAGAATGGAGACAAATTTGAACAAAAAACTGAAATGGGGCAATAAAGCTTCCACTTCACACCTCCCCCATAGTTATATGTAGCCTGCTCGGTTTTTCCCAAAATCTTTATAAATTAAGGGGCTAAATTTCACTTCTGAATTTTGAGAGAAATAAACTTCACATGAATTTTGAATTATTGGCCAACAACATGGGGGAAAAAAGTATGAGTAATGGTATCAATATGTACACTCTTCACATCCTAAAATAAGCAACTAAGGAATCAAACATTTTGTGATACTAAAAAATTTATTCACTATACACAGAACATGTCCCCTATAAAATGTACATGTAAATTACTAAGTAAATTTGGTGAACATTTTCTCAATTACAGAACATACTAAGTCAGTTGGGATAGATAACAGCTCCGTCTACCTCAAAATAAACTTAGTTTTAGCACCCAGAGTCTTTCCTTATTTCAATGCAACGCTAAATACTTGTTTTGGGGATTATTTCCTAATGTGTTGGAGGAGGCAGAGTTAACCACTTAATATAACTCTACTATATCACAGTCACTGCACAATAATCAGGTTATTACAAATAAAACATTTTCCTCATTATTTGTATTAACGGGATGCAAATACTGATTACTAAAAAAAAATTTTTTTAAAGGCAGATAACCACAAAAGCACTCATCTTTGATAGCATACTGGATTTTTACAATTACATCAGAATGAGTGGTTTAAATGATCAATATACCTCAAAACAATGAGGCCAGATTGTGCTCAGTAAGACATTTAATTGAAACTACGTGAATTTTATCTACTTTCTCCCCAATTAACCAGGATGTTTTTCCCACATGAAAGGCTCAATGTTTCCTGAATAAACTATGAAAGAGAAGGACCCTCTATGCTGGCTTTCAAGCAGAGCACTTGAAATTCCTCGGCAAAGAGCAGTTTAAGGAAGATGTAAATGGCAGGTGGCGTCCAAGTAAACACACCCAAGATGCCAACAGAGCGAACAATTAAGCAGAAACACTGGCACCAGAATAAACCACGGCAGTTTGCCAATAACAGCAAAAAGGGGGAACTGCCTTCCTTAAGAGACAACCAAGAAAAAGTTAAAATTGGACCGTATCTCACCACCCCCACCCGCCCATTTTCAGACAGACCGATAGAGGCACTCTAAGAGACTATGGCTGTCTTCCTTAATATTCAGACATCTTAATTTTCAGTAATTATGAGCCTATTATTCACGAATCAATATAAACCTATTCATACTTAGGGATTAGTTTCCACATGTACAAAGTTGAATTTCCTTTTATTTGTCCTAAAATGCTTACTTTCGAACTTGAAAGGACTTCAAGTATTCCATGTAGTTTTCATTAACATTCTTTATCTTTTCAGACCAGTCAAAATATTCATACAGTATTCATACTGCAGCACCTTCCACCCACCCTTTGGTCGCTTGAACTGCCCTTCTTTGGTTCTTTTTCCGCTTTCTCAGATCTTTCTTGAAGTGTAGTAAGCAGAACTGTACTGGGTATTCCAGCTGCAGTTTGGTCTTAAATAAAAGAAGGATGTTTGTCAGTTTGGTTTTCTTTATTCTTCTCTGTGGTATACAGGATTTTGTTAGTTGAACTGGATGTAGCAGCTTACTGGGCCAAACTTTCAAGAAATAGTACAACAGTTTCCAGGTCTTTTCCCTGGGCTGTAACTTATAAGCCCATACGCTATGTAGCACCTTTCCTTTCTCACTGAAGCATTATCTGTCATTTTTCTTCTTGCTTACTTGGCTTCAAAAAAAAAAAAAAAATGCAGAGAGCTTTAAGTAAAAAGAGGCGAACTAGCAACCCTCACTTGAGTCTTGATATGACCTAGGCTACTTAATATTGAGCACAGTGCCAGACACGCAGTAGGTACTCAGTAATTCTGAGACATAACACAAAGTTAATTTAAAACACCATGTAAAAGTTAAGGATCTTCACCAAGGACCGGGAAGGGTCCTAACTACCTTGAATATAAAAATAAGTGAGGCATAAACAGAAGATCAAATGTTCAGTTCTACTGAGACCGAGAACAATTTTAATGGACCATCTCCTGAATCTACTTTTGGGATTCATGTGCTTACTCACTGCCTACCTTTAAGTTTCTCATTGGAACTTAGCGTCTGCGATATTATTTGAGTTTATTTTTTATCTCATAAATTGTAATCCATTTAAAGAAAATCCTATGGCTATCAGGTCTACACTTAAATGTTGGCTCTGCCACTTAACGGTCTTTGTGCCCTATCTCTTTGTGCCTTACTTCCCCTCATTAGTGATATGGGGATAACAAAAGGACCTTTTCACAGGGTTGTGAAAAGGAAATGATTTAACATGTAAAGGTTTTAGAACAGTGTCTGGCACATCATAATTACTCAATATGTATCAGCTACACTTATTATCAAGTACCTAGAATTCAAACCACAAAACACATAAATCACTTCTCCGAATGTTTAACACTTACTATTAACTGCTCACCAACATTCAATGCAAAAATCTTATAAACCATGCCCATAAACATAGGGTTAAATGTATATGGTTCAGGAAGGAGAGGGCAGAATTATCGGTCCATCCAATAATGAAAGTTAGTTGTTGCCTCAAATTTCATTTTATCATGTTAACACTATCATATCAATCTCTTGGTCAACCCAAGAGGCTTTATGAGCAATCATGAGAGAAATTTAACATTACATAAAATATTTTTAAGTATATGTAAGAGATGTCGTATTCTGGCAAGTTCTATCATTTCCAAAGCAAAGTTTAATTGTGCCCAGTGCAATACTGATATAAGGTATTCCTAAATCCACAAAGGATTGTTTTCATTGTTGTCTTAGAATATTAATATTGCAAACTATTAATAATTCCAGTTAATCATTATTTCCTTCATTTTGTTTTTATTATAGCATGTTTGCTTAATTTACAGCAAGCAGAAAATAAGCTGGGTCTTGTTTTGATCCAAACATCAATGTTTTAAAGGTTGTACACAATATTTGTTAAAAAGAACATATAAAAATACCTTTTTAGAAGCTTCTATAAGAAAGAAAATACAAAGTTTAACCCCACAACTTTCCTCTTTGCTAGAACTGCAAACTACTGCTACAATTTTAAATAGACTTTTGTTGTTTAAACTATACATCCAGGAAAATCTAAAAAAATTAAAGAAACGTGCATATAAATGATTGCATAGCAGAACATGAACATTAACTGCAAACAGAGAAATGAAAAGTTAGAAATCCTATCAAATATACAAAGGTTCTAGAATCAATCCTTCAAAACACATTCCACAAACAATTTTTAAAACCAACGTTTGTTCTTTACAGGCAGGTCTAGATTAACGAAAACCAAAAGTGGAAACAGTAATCCTCTAAAAGGAATTGCTTCTTCACAGCAATTCTTACTTTTATTTGCAAGCAAGCAATCTGGGATTTTAGAAGATGCTAGCTTTGATTCTGAAATGTGGTTTAGACATGTCAAATCACCCTCCTGTCCCCAAAATGATCTTTCAGAGAAACATTAGAAATTATAAATGGCTAAGGGTAATTACTTTATTTTTTGGTCAGGTATTGCCAGGTCTACAAAAAAGAAAAAAATAATAAAAGAATTCCAAGATGCCACTCTTGCTTAATAAATGAGTAAATTTCTCACCCAAATTATTTTAAATCTCATGGCACCACAGAATCACCTAGAAATGGGAGTGTTGTCTTTCAACTTGCTTCATATTAAACGCTTGGATCGTCAGAGGCCTTGTTCATGAGGCAGGACCATACAAAGCCTACTTTCAAACTATTTGCTTCTAACAAAGAAAACTAAGCAATATTATGGGCATCAACAATGCTCTTTAAAATTTAGAGTAAATTACAAGAGTACCCTCCCCAACCCCAAAATTAGTCCTGCGATCATCCATCTGCTCAAACTCGAATTTTTCCTTAAGTTTCTATGTTTCAAGTCTTCATAGAAATCAGGAAAAAAAAAAAAAAAGGCAGCAAAGGCTCCATGTTTTAGTCAAACACTCAATCTCCCTGAAAAATGCTACTTAACCCAGCTGGCTAATGAGAGAATCATTCTACACTGCAACTTGAAATAAACTCACCAACCACAGGCCTAGTCTCCTACAGGCCTAGTCTCCTAACACGGCATGAAGGTCCACCCTGAACCTAGATGTGTCTGAGCAGTCAAGTGTTGTCCTGCTGCTACCACTCACGTCTGTATCGCTCTATCTTAACCACCTACATTTCTAGGTTCACAGTTCTCCCAACTACGGCTATGAAAGTTTATTTTTAATAAGACAATGTTGCAAATTATGGTCAACCAGCATCTTTTTACCAATACTTCAAACAAAAAATGAGAATTTTTACAAAAATATACAGAGACACCACAAATTGGTAGCTGCCCATAACATTAAACAAACTGGACTCATAAGTGGCTTCTCAACAGCATATCATTTCAATTAAAACCATTGCCTGGTACAGGGAAAACTAACAAGTGTTGTTTTTTTTTAAGCATCATTGCAACATTGTATTCCTGATAATTTAAGTAAACCAAAACTATGAGTAAATGAATGATACATGCCTAAAAATATCATGTTTTATATACTATTAGTGGCCACTGGACTTCGGACTAGTCCAAGACCTTGATCTAGATTTTGACCTAGACCTAGACTGTGATCTTGACTGAGATTTGGATCTAGGTGGTTCTTTTTTCCTTGATTCCTTTTCATATCTTGAGCCAGACTTAAAATGTGTTTTGGAATCTGTTTTAGAGGTGCCTCTAGTTTTGGTGTGAGATGCAGACCTAGAACGTGATTTAGCCTTCATTTCTTTCTTGGGCTGGGACTTGGACCGTGATCTTGAATTGGATTTAGATCTTGAAAAAGATTGATTTCGGTGTTTGAATCTTTCAAAACAGAGGAGAGATATAATTAGAGTAAAAAATTAGATTCTATAGTAATCAAATTTGTTTTAGAGTAAAAGTTCACTCTGAAATTGAAAATTATATACAGGTCTTTTTTCAAATCAAAATTATTTACCTATCATTGTTGGAATGGCTTCTGCTACGTCGTGGTCTTCCAGTCGGTCTACTGCTAAAGATTATTAGAAGGAAGAAAAAAAAAAAAAAAGGTGACAAATGTCTATTTGCAGGTCTCTTAAAGTTTCTTAATTTTTAAAAAAGTGAACCGTAAAACAAAACAAAAAAACAAAAAATTAAAATCATCTTAGTCTCAACGAAGCATTTAGTATATATTAAAAGTATATAAAAATGTAACGTGCTAGCAAACTTTTCTAATAACTAGTCCACTGTGCTCTATATATGCACCACACTTACTTTCTAGGACTATATGATCTTCTGTAGTTGTAATCAAAAGACCGACTTCTTGATCTCCTCCTTTCATAGCTTCGGCTTCGAGAACGTCTGTATCTGTCATAATCGTCATAGCGAGAAGAACTATATACATTCCTTCCTTCCTTGGCCTTCATCTGATTTGGTGCTATGAAACATAAAAACAAATTATTTAGAAATATCACGAGGAGGTGAAATAGATGTTCTACTGTAGGATAATCAATGATGTGAAACAATCAGCACGAATTAATGACACACAAGCTCTGTAAACTTTCACCCAACTCATAAAAACAAAAGTGCAACATCTGAACAGTGATCAAACCCTCAAATTATAGGGGGGAGGGGAACCATTTCACTTTCCTGCATGTTTTCCCCCTATACACCCATCTGTTACGGTAAATATTAATCTTGGAAAAAGTTTATCTTTTCAAGAAAGTCTATTAGGTGTTCACGTTAAGATTTGCCATATATACTCATGTATAAGCTGAGTTTCCAGTACATTCTAAATGCCGTTTTTATGGTAAAATTAGATGCCTCAGCTGATACTTGGGTTGGCTTACACTCGAGTATATACGGCATTATCCTATCATCTCTTGCATTATTTTTCCCCAAAGTGCTCTCCATCTTAGCTTCTGTCCAAAAAAGTCACACGTCAATTCGTAGCCTAAAAGAATTTTGCAACATTGAACATATGCTACAAGGAATCACCCTTATAGTTTCCACTTACTAGGAACAGTTAACAAAAATATGTTGGACTATGACCTAAGGGTGTTATCAAAATGCAGCATATTGTTCTACAATGTTTTGAGTGACCAGAGCAAAGTGGAAAAGAATACTTACAGAGTACCTTATGCAAACACAGCTGCAAGCCTCAATTCTATGAAGCATGTACTTTTATGTATGCATATACAACCCAACGAATATCCAGGAATCAGCCACTCAACTAATAACTTACCAAACTCGGTGCCATCAAGACTACTCTGACTCACAGCACAGCAACCTTTCAGGCAGGGTGGAACTGCCCCTGTAGGTTTCTGAGACTGTTACCCTGCAGGAGTAGAAAGTCTCTCTCATCTTTCTCCCGTGGAACCAAGAACTGGGGAGTTACTAATAGTTTGTGTCCACCTGTTTCCTCTCTTCATCAACGACTTTAATTTCTATCCTTTAGTATGATGGCCAAGAATAGTATAATGGCTAAGCCAGAATTCAAGCCTAAATCTATCTGCCAGCAAACGCTGTACCCTTGCCCTGCCTCAGCACTGTGTAGCGAAGATCTGGTATATGCATGTACAAAACAAATCAAATCCCACTGCTGTCAAGTTGATTCCGCCTTAGTGACTATGGAACAGAATGAACTGGTGAACTAAGTCAACAGGGCTTTTTTTTTAAAAAACCTCAAACTCACCTGTAGCCCTTGGACTTAGGCCTAAAACTCCCTAGTATGAGAAAAAGCAAATGACTGTTAGCCCAAGGGCATAGAACTGGAGGACAGGTGCAAATCTCCTGCCTTGAGGTTGCCCCTTGAATGGTGGCTAGGAACTACCCTATACTCACTATTTTAATATCCTCTTTGATTGATGACATATACTATTCTGCTAAGTGTGAATCTGCCATTGGGAACGAATATCTTTTAAAGTCTTGGCCAACCAGTCACTAAAGAGTTTAACCTGTACAAGTAAACAATTCCTGTATTGTGGTTCATAAATGACCTCTATTCATGTAATTCCCTTCTCTTAACAGAGTTTTAAATTCTGTACCATTGGCTAAGCTAGCGACTCTCTCAATGCATATTGGTTACACACTGGGCTGCTAAACCACAAAAATAAGCAGTTTGAAACCAACAACCAACCCACAGGGTAAGGATGCGGCTTTCTACTCCTGTTGATGGCAGTGGAAATGATGCTCCGTGGGGGATGATTAATAATGCTAATATAAAATGACAATGTCTCTAAGGTGAACCAGATACATACAAATAAAAATATATAAATGGATTTTGAGCTTGCGCTTAATTCTGGCCTCAATTAAGAACAATTAGTTCTTAGGGCAGGGCCTTGCTTGATGCTCATTCTTATGAAGATATGGGAGCTATATAGGAAAGTGGGGCAAAGAAACTAGATGGTACCTGGCTATCAGAAGGAAGAGTCTGGGGCCTTAAAGGCTTGTCTTCAAATAAGCAGCCATCTATGTAAGGTGTACACTAAGTCCACATGGAGGACCATCAGCCTATGTAATCCAAGGATTGTGTATAATAAAATCCAAATCCAAAGGAACGAAAGGTATCAGATCTTACATTGTGAACACCTGGTTTGTTATGTCAGCTAAAAACACTGAAAATATTTAGAAATATTAAAGCAAAAGGATGTAGCACATTAGACATTTTAAGGGTACTTACTCTTACGATCTCCCTGTGCAAACTGGATTTCAATTTGACGGCCACAAATCCATTTTCTGTCCAAATTATGTAAAGCATCTTCGGCATCACGAACATCCTCAAATGTGCTAAATGTTAAGGGGCTTGGGAAATTTTGAAAACTTTGGGAATGAATGGGAGGATCATTTGATAAGTGTGGAACTCACAATTTCTCATTAATTCTAGAAAAACTAATCAGATCCTACTTAACTAGTTTGGCTGACTCACATAGGAACTTCGTGATTTCCTATGGCATAAGTTTTTCTAAAACCATGTGAATGCACCTTCTAGTTATTATGAAAATAAAACTGTCAGAGCTTAATCAACAGGTAATCCTACTATGAAAAAAATTTCTTCACTGCATTTTAAGAACTAACTTCAGAACAAAACAAGGTAAAAGCTAAGTTCGACACTGGATACTGAGGGCAAAAAAAAAAATCTTAAAAAATAAGTTACTGTTTCAAATGAAAATGCTAGTAGTTCTCATGTAAAGACCTTGCATAGTAAAATATTAACCTCAAATCTCATTGCCTTTCTTGGATATATGTTAACACTTATTTCATGTATGTCTTCCTTGCATCACACACAGAAAACTGACACGCTAGCCACTTGTGGGTATCAAGACAGGGTCATTAAGCAAGACATCACTATATCTATGCAGATGGTAAGAGAATGCTGTGGACAAATAACAGGATACTAAAGGATCCCAGACTGAGACAGAGCTTCGCGCAAAGAAAAGGATCTGGAACTGAATTTCAACTGGAGAAATTCAAGATAGTGTTTCCTGGCCTGAAGCAGAACTACTAGTATCAGTATTGTATATTTGAGGCTGAGATGCTGTGTCTTGTCCTCCTCCTTTTTACATTAGCAATCACAATATATGAAGTCCTGGCTTTACAGACTTACTTTGTGCAAATTTAGCTCTTCTCTCCAAACCACTTTAAACAGAACCAAAATGCATTGTTAGCTGGGGAAAGGAACTAGGTTAGATTTAGGTATGAATTTTCTTACAGATCACTTTTCTAACCTAGCCATTTCTAGTTCTTAAATTTGAGAAAGAGCATAAAAGTGGCAGTTCTCAAAAGCCAATTAAACTCTTGAGAGTAACAAATTCTCTTCACCATGACTGATACTTGTGTCCTACTCTGGGGACCCAAATGGCCTTGCTTTCCTGAGTTCCTACTTACTGTGAAAGGGACTAAGGCCAGCAGAAGGTTCCCAGGTCTCTTCCAAAGGCTATCATGCAAAGGTTCAATGAAAGGAGAGGCTTTCTCAAGTCCAAAATCATTGGGTCCGCAACAAAAAAAGGCCGAGAGTTCAGAACGCTAACTCAACATCCTAAAGGTTAATGTAGGTGAGCTTTAAAATAATTAGGACTAATTTCACTTAGTGGGTTACCCTTTTAGGCAGAGTATAGTCATAAGAAAAAAAGGAGAAAAAAAAAACAAACACCCAGGATTTAGATCAAGGAAACTATAAAAATGGTTAATGAGGTTAATAAAATCTTCCTCTGGCTCCTCTCTCAATAGAATCCTGGGCTGAGTGGACCATGGCTAGGTTCTACTTTACCTGTTACCCCAGTGATAGAGGAAGAGCAGAGTAACTGAGAACTGGGCTGAGTAGAAGGCAGAGGCCTGCCCAAGTATCATTCTGATACCAGCCACAGCAAACAGTGTACTTCAGTGTTTTTCTAAAAACAATTAATACTGTTACCCATTTCCTTTACAGATTTATAGAAGTTAAAGAAGGGCTTACTGAAAAGAAAAGACCATTCTCCTTTGGATTTCCTTAGGTGACAATTCTTTTTTTCTGGTTCTCATCTTACATTTATTTTTAGCTCAAACTAGGTAAAACCACTGCCTTTGTTTACCAGGCTAGACAGAACTTCTTTTCCTTTCTTTAACCAAGTTTTGTAAGCAGGTTCCACAAGGACCTTCATCAAATCCTGGCCCCTGACAGGAGCAGCGTTTGCGCCCCACCCCCAAGATCAGAATCTTGTGAGGACTCAGCTAACCTGAAGTTTCAAGAAGCCCGCTGAATTTATTAGTGGATCTGACCTCACAAGACCACCAGAATAATTTCTAAGTAGCAGTGAGTGAACGCGTCTGTCTCCCCTGTAAGCTGTTCTGAAGAGTTAGCCTAAGTCCAGAACCTCTCGCTACTCCAAAGAGCTCTGTGTCTGCTATCCCCTGGCCTCTGAGTACCTGCTGCAAAACAAATAGGCCAAGTTTAAGCTTAACAGTATCACATCCTGGTATACTTTTAACTCAACAAGTTAAGAGAATGCGCATTCATACAAAACCACAATTACAATATCCAAGGCCCACACAAATCAAGTTACAGGTTTTGTCACTGGACCAAACCAGAATAGTTTTTGAAAGTTAACGGCTTACAAACCATTTTTTTTTAAAAAGAAAAAGAAAAGAAAAGGAAAATTGTTATTCTGTAGGATACATCAGGTATGACTCCTTTAATCTTGGCCATCATTCAACTTCATCTTGACCTTTAACTCTTTAAGTGCTTGTCAGAAGGACTTGTCATGAGATGCTTGGCCAAATATGACAGATGGCTTTATCTTTAACTTTGAAAAACAACCTTTTCCCCCTTTTGTAGATAAAGCGAGGCTTTGTCTCCCATTAGGCTTGTCCTTCTTCCAGCTTTTCTTTATTTTTTCTTTTCCCAAACTCTCCCTTCTCTTCAAGCCTGATCCTTAAGGTCTTTGGCTTGTCTACTTGCCTTAAGTGTTGAACTCTACTCTAAAGGTTCTTTCATGCTTTCTCTTTGGGGTCGCCATAACTGTACAGCTTTACAATCTCTGAGGTAACAACAGAGGACAGCAAATTAGGGGACAATATTAAAGAAGTTTACCTCATTGTTAAACAATTTGTTTCTGATCAAGTGATTCAAATTAAAAAACAATACCAGAACTTTACATTGCCAAGCACAAGAACACATTCATTTTTAAAGTAATTAAAAGTGGTAGCAACCAGTGTATTCAAATTTAAATCACATATCATAATCATGGATTTGAGTTTCAGCATCATGAATGGGAATTTTGTACTATTACTATTTTTGGATTAACTTTAAGAAATAATAAGAGCAATGTGAGCCAGAAATTATTTTCAAGAAATCTGAAGACATAAGACATTACAGGACAAAAACAAACTGCTTTTTAAATGTTACCTCTTACATAAACTTGAATTTCAAACTTCAACACCCCTCACTAATCAGCCATCTGAAGAAAGGATATTGAACATAAGCAAATCCTCTTGGACGTCGTGTGTAGAAATCAAGTGGAACATACACATCAACTATAGGACCATAGCGACCAAATTCTCGACGTAAATCTTCAGACCTAAAACATCATAAAAAGATCCCAGATTTTTATGCTCACATCCTTGAAAGTTTCTTTGTAGGAAGTCATAGATCTTCTATAATATCTCAATCAATGAAAGGGATTTGTGGTTTAATAAGATAGGCGTGTTTGTTTCTAGGGGATCTTAAACAGGCGAGCTAAGCTTTCTAAAGCTCAAGGTAAGAATCAAACATGAGAACACACAGGCTATATCTTTGTTCAAAGAAAGCTACCCCACACCCACCAACCTGCCACCCCAAACCTACTGCTGTGGAACGGATCCGACTCACAGAGACCCCAGAGGGCAGAAAAACACTGCCCCATAGGGTTTCCAAGGAGATCTTTACAGCCGCCGAATGCCACGTCTCCCTCCCACAGAGCAACTGGTGAGTTCAAAACCACCGACCTTTCGGCTGGCAGCTGAGTGCTTTAACCACCGTGTCACCAGGGCTCCTGAATGAAAGCTACAGAATCCAAGAATTTGGGAGATAAAATACAATTTATAATCACTATCACTATTTTACATTAACATGTCCAGGGATCAGGATAACAATAGACATAAAGCAATCTGATCACAATTTGTTTTTACGGACCTTGTTCATTTTTTTTTATTAAAAAACATAAAGCCAGGTTGTAGTTATGTCCCTATTGCTTTTTTTCTTTTTACAGTTATACTTATTTTTGGTCCCCAAAACTGCAGAGATAGGGTAAAGTGGATATGATTAGAAAAATTACATAGGGGGCTTCAAAAAGTTCGTGGAAAATGTAGTCAAGACAATGGATTTTTACCCCCATAATTTTTTGAAGCCCTCTCGTACACAACCCTTAAAAATAATGTCAAAAATCACACACGCGCGCGCGACACAGAAATTATTGCTTTCTTCTTATTCAAAGTTTAGCCAAAAAAGAAAAAACCGCGGAATCACGGCTAAAAAAACAAAACAAAACAGAGAACAAAAATTGACCAATTGTCACACATGCAGTCTCATTTTGTGATATCTTCCAAAATACTGGGAAGGCAATTCGAAGAAATTAAGAGGAACGGTGGGAATGCATCCAGCTTAAGGTACGCGCCGGATTAATCTAGTTATCCACATCCTAATGGCCGAGGCTCCCCCGCCCCGAATTTCCAGGCACGAGTCAAACGGAAAACTCCCCCAAATCTCCTCATTGCCTGGCTCCACAGATAACGCGCGTACAAAACCCACGCCGCGTGCAAAACGTACCAAATGCTTCCGTCACAATTCCCTCCCCTTCCGTCGGGCCCGTTATTCCAGTACAAAGCGAGCTGACTTTTGTTTTAGTTCTAAGGAAAGCAAGATCTCTGACCGAGGGGGCGTGCACCCCAAAGAACGTGAACTTCAAAATCAGAGGGGCGCCGACTCCGGCGGCGACAGCGTGCGCCCCGAGGCAGCGTGAGGGCCCGGCCCCCAGACGGCCGAGGGGGAGGGGAGAGAAAACGCCGCCACGCGGCCCGCGTTCCCCCGGCGGCCTGGCGCGGGCCCGGGCGTCTCCCTCCTCCCCGCGGCAGTTGGGGCTGCCGGCGCGGCCTACTTGGGGAGCTCCAGACGGCGCG